GCACGACGACAGAGTCGAAATTTGTTTCGGCGACCATGCTTCGTCGGACCCGGAGCGATGCGCGAGCTATTTTAGCCGGCAGTTCATACTGCATCCTCCGGTGGACAAAGCCAAGCGTCGAGTGACCAGAAGGCTGCACAAACTGCCAACAACCTGTGCCTCCCTTGCTTTCACTTGCGGTGAAGTTCAGGTGGCCATCGGGAAGGCAAAAGCCTCCAAAGCCATGGGTCCCGATGGAATATGCATGCTGATGCGGAAAAATTTTAGTCCTGCATAGGAAGCGTACCTAACGGAGGTCCTCAATTTGTCTGTGGCCACTCTCAACATCCCAGACATCTGGAAGGTGGGGAGAGTGGTCCCACTGCTCAAACCGGGGAAACCTGCTAACATAGGAGATTCTTATCGGCCGATAACACTCCTTTCCCCGGTAGCGAAGACACTCGAGGCCTTGCTGCTCCCGTATTTCACAAACCACTTGACCCCAGCGAAGCATCAGCATGGTTTCCGTAAAGTGCACAGTACAACAACAGCACTTAACGCCATAAACACTCAGATAACTCGTGGCCTTAACCGTAAACGTTCCTGTGAGAGAACGATTCTAGTAGCGTTGGACCTGTCAAAGGCTTTTGACACTGTCAGCCATTCCACGCTACTAGAAGATATGGAGGCTTCCTCTCTCCCACAGAGGCTCAAACGGTGGTCAGCAAATTATCTGAGTGGTCGACACTCGTCGGTAATGTTTAGAGACAAATCGAGCAAACTTAGAAAAATAAAACAGGGAGTTCCACAGGGTGGTGTCTTTTCCCCGCTACTGGTTAACTTTTACATTTTAAAGCTTCCTCAACCACCAGAGGGAGTCTCGATTGTCTCTTACGCCGACGATTGCTCGATCATGGCGACTAGGAATGGAATTGATGACCTGTGTTCGAAAGTAAACGGGTATCTCTCCGAACTTTCTCGCTTCTCACTGCAAAGTGTCTAGCCCTCTCCCCTACGAAATCCTCTGCGACCCTGTTCACAACCTGGACGAAGGAGGTCAGGCTACCGTTAGGAATTCACGTCGATGACACTTCCGACGGTGAATAATCTCCTGCTCTCCTTCTCTGCGCAAGCAATCGCTATTGTCAATAAAGTACAGAGCCGCAACAAGGTCATCAAGTCGCTAGCCGGCAGTAATTGGGGCAAAGACAAAGAAACGTTGCTGGCAACATACAAGGCAATAGGCCGGCTGGTTTTAAACTACGCAGCACCATTGTGGTCGCCGGGGACTAGTAGGACGCAGTGGACGAAGCTACAGACGGTACAAAACACAGCACCTAGGACAGCGACCGGATGCCTCCTGATGTCACCAGAACACCACCTCCACGATGAGGCGAAAATGCTCCCAATTAGGGAGCACAACACGATGCTCTGCAAGCAGTTTCTGGTTGGGAGCCACAGATGTGGCCACCCAAATAGACAGCTGCTTGCAGAGGAGCCCTCGCCGAGGCACGTCAGGAGGCATCTATATGAACTGACGGACGAAGTCCAGAGGCTCATTAAGCAGCTTTTGGCGGAGCAGCAATGCTGTTTCGGGTACAACGTCATCTACCAGTTCGCGGAGGACGACAACTCAACCAGCACACGACACTTGTTGGTATCACCGCACTTTTCGTGAAAATGCAACACGATGCCGGCAGCCATGTGCTTTCGGTCAGAAACGTTTGGAAAACTAATCAGTCCTCCGTTCAAAGTGGCTCCTGCGGAGGCTGATAATAACTGCAGCCGCCTTTATGTCCGAGATAGGACATCTTCACTAAAATTTCTTGAAGACACGGGTGCGGAGATATCAGTGATACCCAAAAGTTGTAGCGACAAGCGATCGAGGGCGCCTATTAGACTGGTAGCTGCAAACAACACGTAAATTAGTACCTATGGTACTAAGCGTATGGTGTTGGACCTGGGCTTGCGGAAAAAATGTTCGTGGTTGTTTGTAATTGCTGACGTAGCGTACCCTATATTGGATGCTGATTTTTTAAAACATTTCGAGATTCTGGTTGACATGAAGAGTAAGGCGATCATTGATAGAACAACGAGCGCCCGATCGATTTGCCAAATCATGAAACTACCATATAGCATCATCTCATTAAGAGGGGTAAGTTTATTTCAGCCTCGCGGTGATTATAGGCGGTTGAAAGCGAAGACCTTGCCAGACAACTATCCGGTACGCCATATTCAGGATTTCGGAGGGGACTTGTATGGAAAAACTATTTTTCTGTAATTGACTGTAAAAAGGCTTACCACCAAATCCCTGTACACCCAGCGGACGTTCCGAAAACGGTCATCCTCACCCCGTTCGGCTTGTTCGAATTCAGGTATATGACGTTCGGACTTAGGAACGCAGCACAGACGTTCCAGCGTTTCATTGATGAAACAGTAATGAGATTGCCGTTCGCTTTCCCCTACCTCGAAAAGGGCTTAATCATCAACAGCCAGAAATGTCAACTCACCCGGGAGGAGGTAGAGTTTATGGGCCATCTAGTCTCATGCAAAGGCATTAAACCACTGCCTCATGACATCATAGCATAGAAGAAACCGAAGGAAGTACATGAACTGAGATTTTTAGGGGCCGTCAACTTTTACAGACGTTTTTACCGCACGCTGCCGCCATCGAAGCGCCACTACAGCGACTCATGGGCCCTAGCAAGAAACACGACCGACAGTTATTGCCTGGACAGTAGAGGCGACGGAGGCTTTTGAAAATCTTAAGAGGCAATTGGCGGAGGCTGCATTGTTGGCTTTTCCGATGAAGGGCGCGACAATCGCTCTCATGACCGACTCTTCGGACATCGCTGTAGGTTCCGTTCTTCGGCAACGGGTGAACAGTGTTTGGGTCCCGTTAGGTTTCCACTCCCAGAATTTTACACCAACCGAGAAGCGGTATAGCACATATGACCGGCCATATATAAATCTGTGCGGTATTTCCGTTATTTTTTGGATGGAAAGATTTTCACAATATTTACAGATTTAAGCCGCTCACGCATGCTCTCGATCAAAAGTGGGAAAAACTATCCCCAGGCAAACTGAGTTGAGGAGCTTGTTAAATGGTCAGCCCACTTCGTTACACCTGGTCAAAAGTCAAGCTCCGGGTAAGAGCGTACAAATCATTTGCGATAATTCAACGGGGACACTTCGTCCATACGTTCCGGACGTTTTGCGACAGGTGGTGTTCAATGCGATCCATGGTTTATCACATCCTAGTGCGAAGGCATCAATTAAACTTATTTTAAAGAGTTTCGTTTGGAAAGGAGTAAGCAGCGATGTACGAGCGCGGGTGCGTAGTTGCACAGAACGAAAGGGGAACTACAGCAATTTTCGGTCCCCGGGAAGCGTTTTGAACATGTTAATGTGGACATCGTCGGCCTGTTAGCCCCTTCGCGCGGATATACATACTGCTTAACCTGTGTCGACCGTTTTTCACGATGGTTGGAGGTTATCCCTATAGCGGACATGACCGCTGAGACAGTGGCAAGAGAAATTTTAAACGGTTGGATAAGCCGGTTTGAGACACCAAAGTACATTACTACGAATCAGGGGCGTCAGTTCGAGAGTGCGTTGTTTAAACAACTAGCCAAGCTATCAGGCGTCAAACACATCCAAACAACCAGCTACCACCCTCAAGCTAATGGGTTGGTGGAGAGATGGCCTCGTGTTTTGAGAGCTGCCCTCAGATGCTGCAGACGCGAACTGGGTCGACGTCCTACCCATCGTGCTTTTAGGCTAACGAACGGCCGTGAAAGAGGACTTGGATGTATCCGTTGCAGAGATGCTCTACGGACAACCTATCCGGTTACCCAGCGACTTCCTGGAGGCCGACGTCAGCACGCCTGTAGATGAGCAGAGTTGCCTGCGGGATTTGCGACATTTGGAAATGGCTAGGCCAACGCCAACTTCACAGCATGGAAAGCATACCGTTTTCGTGCCAAAAGACCTGAGATTCTGCAGTCACGTATTTTTACGAGATGACACTATCCGTAAGCCTTTGAAATCGCCGTATGAGGGGCCGTACCTAGTAGTTAACAGGTACCCCAAGACGTATACAATATTGATTGGATCAAGACAAGTGACGGTGTCCATTGACAGACTTAAGCCGGCTTACTTCCCCAGGGACGAGTTAGCAGCGATACATCACCAACATACACCGTTACCTGCGTTCCCACGACAGTCGGGTCTACGTAACCGGAACGACCCAGATTTATATCTGGCCAAGGACTGTCACTCCAGCAACACTGCCCAAAAAGTCTTTGGGGAATTTGTATGCTGCTACAACAACAACAACAGTTACCGTGTTTACGTTGTCCGCTGTTAGGTCTGGAAGGGGGTGGTGTAGGGACCAACCCAAACACTTGTCGCAGTAGTTAAGTGGCAACATCAAAAGCCGCAGTAGACGAACATAGCTGTTTGACATTCGTTTGTACGTTCCCACGACAGTCGGGTCTACGTAACCGGAACGACCCAGATTTATATCTGGCCAAGGACTGTCACTCCAGCAACACTCCCCAAAATCTCTTTGGGGAATTTGTATGCTGTTACAACAACAACATTCGTTTGTACTAACTGAAACCAACTTAAATTCATTCAACTTTTCTAGCGACGCTAACAAAGTCAGATTTTTCCGTGTGTAAAAGCAACTTGTATTCGTTTAATTTCTAAGTTAATAAAGACATAAAGAAATAGTAATTCTATACAACAAATGTAATACTTGAAAAAAATCCGTTAAAATGCCAGTAACAAAGCTATCTTTAGGTTTTGCTTTGAAATTTTTAACTGAATTCTCCCGATATTTTCTAATACAAAAAAATAAAAAGGAAAACTATTATATGATTTTTGAAATTCAGTTGCAGAACATTTTTTCCAAAACACTATGCGACGACGGCCATTGGATGATTTTCTTAAATTGTCGAATGTCTGCTTTTGCACGGGTTATAAGTTATAATACTACCTGTGTAATATATAAATACCTTTGAACTCTCAATGTTTTGCTGTTTTTGCGGTTGTTTGTGTTTCTGTTCGAGTTTTTTCGCTTGTCCCAACATTTTTTGATACATTTCTTTTTCGTTATGTTCTTCTCTTCGTGCTTTAATTATCAACTTTGCCAAATCCTTTTATTTTTTAAATAAGTGATATTACTTATAAAACCTTGGAACACTAACGTGCTACAACACTTACCTGCTGAATTGCTTTGCTATCTGGTTCGAGTGTAGCGGCTTTTTGAAGTAAACTTATAGCTCCCTTGGTATCCCCTTTTCCCTCTAGAATCTATAAGGATGTTATGGTATAATTGAGTATCTTTAATTATTTTTTGTGATGTACTAACTCGTCCTTTACGGTACAAAGCCTTAGAGTTATTTGGCTGACAACGTAAAACATTTTCTACCGACTTTAAAGCGGCATCAAAAGCTGATATTTTAATTTGAGCCATTGCTAGGTTGTTGTACACAATTAATCGATCCTCCAATAACGTTTGCAAGTCACTATTAGAAAGCTAAATTAGAACAAAAGGTTAGATCCTAAATGTCAGCAAATAAGTTTATGAATTGATTATCTTAAACCTTACTTCTAAATCTTCTTTATCGAAGGCGCTGTCGGGGTCACCATCGCGATCATCCAAGTATTCTAACGCACGTCTATACAATTGAATTGCGGTATTGAATTCGTTACGATTATACCAGAAATTAGCCCTTTCTTTTTTACTGGTTCTGCAAAATGTTGAACAAATTAAGAGTTTATAAACTAATAAACAATACAAATACAAAATTAATGACAATTGCGCTAACCCGTATTTCCGGCGTACTTCGTACGATTTTAAGTCTGAGAAATCCTCGCCTTTGGAGTCTAATAAATGCACTTCATATATTAGCTGTGGAAATACAAAAACTTAAACGTCATGAAATGCAGTACTTTTGTTCTTTTTGTGTACTTTGGGACGTGAACCGGATGAAAAATTTGGTCGGTTCGGTACAGCGGTTCGAACCGTTTTCGCACTTTTGGAATGGTTCGTCAAAGCGGTCTTTTTGGTCTTTGAACCGGGGTTTCGGTTCGGTTTAAGGGTTCTAAAAACAACACAATAACGCGGATGTTTAGGTGTCAAGTGCAACAACGCGCAAGGTTAAGGGTCAAGTGTCTGTCAAATGAGATGGGTGTTGCCTTTACATTTGATATTGTCACATGGTAAACAAACATGGTAGGTATTACCATGTTTAAAAAAAGGAAAAAAAGTTGGTACATTTATCTATTGAAAATTGGTTGAAACGAACCTTTAAACCTTTATGGAAAGAGGTTCGGTTTTCGGTTCGGATCAAACATTTGTGGAAAATTTCGGTTCGGCTAATGGTTCAGTTAATTAATAGAAAAAATCGGTTTTCCGGTTCAAAGCCGGTTCACGTCCCTGCTTTTGTTTTATTCATACATTTGCATCGGCTGGCACACTTGCACTTTCATTGTTCTCATTCTTAAAACCTAAGCTCCCATAAGCAAATCTTGTATCGATTCTTATCTCTGCAACCTCACCAACGCTCATAAGTGGAATCGCCATGTCAAGACCTTGCACAACCTGTATTTAAAAATATTGGTCAGTATAAAAATATTACAGCATGAAACAATCTTTCACCTCAAAATCTCCCACATGCATTTGAAAATTTTTCTTCTGTTCAACAACGGTTCCATCGGGCAATTTCCCAGTAAATGAAACTGTGACCAAATCACCTCGAGTGGGACGTTTGCCTGTTGTACTTTGTTTTAAAACACGTTTAACTAATTGACCGTTCCCTAACACATCGCAAGACTCATCGTCCCTTGCTGAAGCGCTTTCATGGCCTTCGTCTTTTGGATTTTTTTGGATATTCGGCTCTTTATGGTTATTTTCATCTTCTTCTTTCAAGTCAGTTTTTTTGTCGGCCTCGGCGACTGTTGGCTTCGACTCTGCCTCATTTATATTTGAGAGATCCTCAAATGAACTATTGCTGGATTTTTCAGTATCCATGGTTGCCTGGTATTACATATTTATACATAAAAATAATCCTCATTATTCATATGACAACACTCACCTTTATGTGTACGTAAAAAAATATCCGTGCAAGGAGCCAAATTTGTATATTTCGTCGGTATATCTAACTTACTGAACTAAATAAATAAAATCTATGGTTAAATATAAAATTTTGTCTTACTGCGAGTAGTAGCAAAGTATTTACAACAACCCAAATTTTTTTCTTCGTCAGCACACAAAATTCAACTCACAGCTGCTCAGCGTTATGTCAATTTATCTGAGAGATCACAATCAATATCGAATTATCGATATACCATATTTTATATGCCATTACTACTCTAGTTCAATTCGTAATTCGAACGACACAAGGGCTTTGTTTCGGAACAAATGCACAATACCACCAAATCTCGAATTAAAAAAAAAAAAAATAGGATCGATAGAGACCATTGAGGTGAACATAACGGTATATTTATTTTTTTGGGGAAACAACAACTACAACAATTATTAAAGGTCAAAGTTCAAATTAAGCATTTTCTCAAATTAATATTTCTCGAAAACCTCTTCAAGGAATTGGAAAATTTTGATAGAGAATTTAATTCTCTTTAATTTGATATACATATTTATACATATACCTTTTCATAGTTTTCACAAAAATGGAATTAATATGGAAAAAAAAGTATACAGGGTTTTTGTGTATAAACTTCTTTTTGCGTAGGCGGCCTTCGGCCGCACTTATGGATTATAACCCTCAAAAAGTAGAATTCTCTTTCTGTGTTGCGAAGAAAAGGCGCTGAACACCTTTTGCACAGAACACCTTCCTGCGTAGGCGGCCTTCGGCCGCACTTATGGATTATAACCCTCACAAAGTAGAATTCTCTTTCTGTGTTGCGAAGAAAAGGCACTGAAACCCCTTTAATAATGGTTGTAGTTGTTGTTTCCCAAAAAAAAAATACATCGTTACACTCACCTCAATGATCTCTATCGATCCCCATATGAATTTTTTTAATTTGAGAATTGTACGTATTCTGCATTTATGCCTTTGTTTATTTTCTTTTCTAGCAGATAATTATCAGGAAGAAGAAGAATGAGAAAATTGATAGAATTAAGCTCGCAGAGAGCGAAATAACGAAAAAGTAGAGAAACGAAAAACTATCAGAAACTAGCAAGTAATCAGCTGATCGGTGTATTTGACTAATGAAAATATTTGGCGCGAATTTTTGTTTATCCATTTTGGCAGCTGCTAGTTCTGCTGCTAGTTTCGTGGCGTTTGTTCAAATCATAAATAACTAAAATTGGCTTACTTGAAAGGCTGCCTTGAAATTGCTGAACCTCCGTATCAGTCTTCGGTCATGGAAACTTGTCAATAGTCTCGGTTTTCTCCTTACTCGGCTGTATGCCGTCTTGAGCTACGATGTGACCCAAAAACTTCACCTCACTTTCCAGAAACGTACACTTAGAAGGTCTTAACTTCCAGCCCGTACTTCTAACTGCTTTTAAAAACTCTGCTAACACTTGTTTACCTTCAGCGATCGTCGGTGTCGCGATGATGACCTCATCCAAGTAGCTAATAATTCTCTTTCTATTTTCAAGACTAGCGATTAGTCGGAGCACCATCTCTTGAAAATACATCGGGGCATTGACTAGACCAAACGGCATAACGTTATGCTCGAAAAGTCCATCGTGCGTTAAGAATGCCGTATATTTTTTACTATCTTCTTCTAGCGGTATCCGGTAATACCCCGAGGTCATATCTAGCATAGTAAAATATCGTCCTCCGGTAAGCTTTGCCAACTGCTCCTCAACGATTGGCATGGGAAACTGCTTCTATACTGTGACCGCGTTGAGAGCACGGTAATCGTCCCACATACGACTCTCTCAATTGCCCTTGCTTACGTCATCTTGTACAATGTATAAACGAGCGTGTTCCATTTCATTGCCTAACTTCATTTCAACCTCTACCATTGCCGTTGATTCGACTCGTGAACCGCCAAATCCCTCGAACTGTTTAAAAATAGATATGCGCTTGACCGTTGCTGGTACACTTGACTGATCAACGAATGATCGCTTCCGGTGTCAACTAGCGCCTCGAATTCTCGGCCTCCCAAACAAATATGTTCTATAATGATCGTTGTTCATGTTGATTTCTACAACTGTAGATGTAGCCCCAGCTTTACAGTCTTTCGGCTCGTGACCTGGCTTAGAACATTTACTACACCGCGGCTTCTTAGATGGGCGCGGACATTTTGCCGCAATATGCCCATATTCGTTGCAATTATAACATTTTGGTCCTGCTTGCGTTCGGTATCGTATGTCATCTCAGCTGGTTTCGATTGAGGTGGCCGTTGCACGACCGCCGGGTGATTTACTGCTACATTTTCTATTGACCTCAGCAAATCGTTAGTTGTCTGAATATTCATTGCCAAAAGCAACCGCGTTAAATGCATGTCATTTAAACCATTGATGACATATGAATTTATCGATGTATCCTCCAAAAAACTTCGTCTACCAATGACTCTCGATGTTTGCGCTTACGTTGTGCTAATTCCCTATGAATATCCGCAGAATTAACCGTACATGGAAAATCGTTCGTTAGCATACTCACAAAATTAGCCCATGTTTGGAAAACGGGCTGGGCGTCTAACCAATCCCTTGCTACCCCTTTCATTTTGTGCTGCACCGCGAACAATATTAATTCTTCTCTCCAACCGTATATACGTTGCAGTTGCTCAGCCTTAGTCACGAACTGTTGAGATGACGTCGACTTCTTCAAGGGATCGAATTCTGGTAAAACGCCAATAATGTCGTGCATATTAGAGTGAGCTTGTGTCAGAATTGAAGACGTCGTCGGCTGCGAAGTTCCCCTTACTATCTGCTCTACATCCACAATGCCACCCGGCGCTGGTGGTTGTGCCCCTGATCTAATGTCACTCACCGACTTCGCTAAGCTGCATATCATCTCCTTTAATTCGTTGATGGACGACAGCCACGGCTCCGCTTCATCCACTTCTTCAGTCTCGATTTCGTCACCTCCTAATGCTTCGATTAACATGGCAATTTTATGCGCTTTATTGCCATTTGTTGTTAAACTCTCTCTTCGGAGTAGTTTATTTAACTCCGTGACCGTGAGACTTTCTAATTTAACTCTCAGCTTTACCAAAATTTATTCTGAAACTCCTCTATTTTTCGTTCAACCTCTTTGCTTTAAGTTTTCGTTGCATGGATTTTCTCCTTCTTTTACGTTAAGAACACGTTGCGCTGTCGGTGCTCTCTTGTCTTCCTTTATTGAATTTGCTCGGTGCACCACTCCTTGTATTTGCTTTTGCCTTCGTTGTTGTTGTTGTTGTAGCGGCTACAACAACCCCGCCCAGATCGGTTGATATCTCAGTCGTTGTCGTCGAGTTTCACTAACGACAACCCCAAGAAGCGTGCAGCCTCTATGGGGTCGCTCCACAGGGACGACGCCGTTAGGGTTGTGGGGTTTTCCGGGCAAGCGAAGAGATGTTTCGAGTCGTGAGGGGTCTCTCCGCATGCCGGACATTCATTCGGCACATCCGCATTTAGCCTACTCATGTAGGATTTTAGCCTGCTGCAGTAGCCAGAGCGAAGTTGGGCTATTGTTGTTCTGGTCTCCCGAGGCAGATGGAGCTCCGTCGCGTCAATGTCCGGTGTTTGTGTGCGTAGAACGGCATTCACAGGTCTAGAGTCTACATAACTCGAGACTGCGTCCCTGTCTGTAAGCTGCCGGGTCCAGAGGCTTCTTAATGAAGCTCTCGACTTCGTCCGTCGGTTCATATAGATGCCTCCTGACGTGCCTTGACGAGGGCTCCTCTGCAAGCAGCTGTCTATTTGGGTGGCCACATCTGCCACCTCATCGTGGAGGTGGTGTTCTGGTGACATCAGGAGGCATCCTGTCGATGTCCTAAGTGCTGTGTTTTGTACTGTATGTAGCTTCATCTACTGCGTCCTACTAGGCCCCGGCGACCACACTATTGCCTTGTATGTTGCCAGCAATGTTTCTTTGTCTTTGCCCCAAGTACTGCCGGCTAGAGACTTGAGGACCTTGTTGCGGCTGTGTACTTTATTGACGCGCAGAGAAGCAGAGCAGGCTGTCGAATGTTACTCCGAGTATTTTGGGATTATTCACCGTCGGAATTGGTGTGTCATCGACGTGAATTCCTTGCGGTAGCCTGACCTTCTTCGTCCAGGTTGTGAACAGGGTCGCAGAGGATTTCGTAGGGGAGAGGGCTAGACACTTTACAGTGAAGAAGCGAGAAAGTTCGGAGGGATACCCGTTTACTTTCGAACACAGGTCATCAATTCCATTCCCAGTCGCCATGATCGAGCAATCGTCGGCGTAAGAGAAAATCGAGACTCCCTCTGGTGGTTGAGGGAGCTTTAAAATGTAAAAGTTAACCAGTAGCGGGGAAAAGAAACCACCCTGTGGAACTCCCTGTTTTATTTTTCTAAGCTTGCTCGATTTGTCTCTAAACATTACCGACGAGTGTCGACCACTCAGATAATTTGCTGACCACCGTTTGAGCCTCTGTGGGAGAGAGGAAGCCTCCATATCTTCTAGTAGCGTGGAATGGCTGACAGTGTCAAAAGCCTTTGACAGGTCCAACGCTGCTAGAATCGTTCTCTCACAGGAACGTTTACGGTTAAGGCCACGAGTTATCTGAGTGTTTATGGCGTTAAGTGCTGTTGTTGTACTGTGCACTTTACGGAAACCATGCTGCTGCTTCGCTGGAGTCAAGTGGTTTGTGAAATACGGGAGCAGTAAGGCCTCGAGTGTCTTCGCTACCGGGGAAAGGAGTGTTATCGGCCGATAAGAATCTCCTATGTTTGCAGGTTTCTCCGGTTTGAGCAGTAGGACCACTCTCCCCACCTTCCAGATGTCTGGGATGATGAGAGTGGCCACAGACAAATTGAGGACCTCCGTTAGGTACGTTACCTACGCAGGACTCCATGGCTTTGGAGGCTTTCGCCTTCCCGATGGCCACCTGAACTTCACCGCAAGTGAAAGCAAGGGGGCACAGGTTGTTGGCAGTTTGTGCAGCCTTCTGATCACTCGACGCTTGGCTTTGTCCACCGGAGGATGCAGTATGAACTGCCGGCCGGGTCCGACGAAGCATGGTCGCCGAAAGAAATTTCGACTCTGTCGTCGTGCTTCGTCGGATTGGACAGTGACCTCACGGTTGACCAAAGCTTACTCACACCAGAGGTGAAGTTACAGGTCTTCTGATGCTCTTCCCACTTCTTCCGCTTCCGGCTATC